TCCCAAATCCCTGTGCTGATCCCAAAACCATCTCTGTGCTGATCCCAAATCCCTGGGCTGATCCCAAATCCTTGTGCTGCTCCCGAATCCCTGTGCTGATCCCAAATCCCTGCGCTGATCCCAAATCCCTGTGCTGCTCCCGAATCCCTGTGCTGATCCCAAATCCCTGTGCTGATCCCAAATCCTTGTGCTGATCCCAAATCCCTGTGCTGATCCCAAATCCCTGTGCTGATCCCAAATCCTTGTGCTGATCCCAAATCCTTGTGCTCATCCCAAATCCCTCTGCTGATCCCAAATCCCTGCGCTGATCCCAAATCCCTGCGCTGATCCCAAATCCTTGTGCTGATCCCAAATCCCTCTGCTGATCCCAAATCCCTGCGCTGATCCCAAATCCCTGTGCTGATCCCAAATCCTTGTGCTCATCCCAAATCCTTGTGCTCATCCCAAATCCCCCTGCTAATCCCAAATCCTTGTGCTGCTCCCGAATCCCTGTGCTGATCCCAAATCCATCCCCGTGTGCTTCTCGTGGCTCTGAATTCCCAGAGGGAATTTTCCAGAACCAGCCCCTTCTTGTCCCGGGCTGCAGCTCCAGCTTTGGCACCCAGAGCCTCCCTGGGCAGCTCCGAGCCAGGAAAAAATTGGGAAGGAGTTGGGCACCCCACCCCTGAGGCACGGGAAGCACGGATGGCTTAATTAGCTCCATTTTCCCCGCTAATTAATGAGGCAGCAGCTCTGCCTCCAGCCCCGCCCACGCCTCAGGGCTGATCCTGCCTGGCTGCCAAAAGTTTGGGGAAAACGCAGGAATTTATTTCCTTTGGGGAATAAACAGAGCCTGCGGTGCTGCAGCTGTCAGGACGGGATTGTCCCCATCACCTTCCCTCTTCAAACCCTTCCTGACACCTCCCTCAGGGCCTTGGTGACCCCAAAATCCAGAATAAATAAATTATCCAATTATTATGGGGGTTTGATTCTTAGTTTTATGCTGAGAAGCGTGAAAAATACCTCTGGGAAAAAATGGATTTGAAAAAAGGGGATCCAAGGTGGATCCATCAGAGGTGGAATGTCTGGGAAAATGGATTTAGAAAGGAGATCCAAGGTGGATCCATTAGGGCAGAACCTCTGGAAAAATTGATTTAAAAAGAGAATCTAAGGTGAATCCATCAGTGATTGAAAATCTGGAAAAATGGATTTTAAAAGGGGATCCAAGGTGGATCCATCTGTGATGGAACCTCTGGAATATCAGATTTTAAAAGGGGATCCAAGGTTGGTCAATCAGTGTGAAAACCTCTGGAAAAACTGATTTTAAAAGGGAATCCAAGGTGGATCCATCAGACATGGAACCTCTGGGATAATGGATTTAAAAAGAGGATCAAAGGTGGATAGAACACCTTGAAAAATGGATTTTAAAAAAGGGATCCAAGATGGATCTATCAGTAACAGAACCTCTGGAAAAATGAATTTAAAAAGGGAATCCAGGGTAGATCCATCAGTGATAGAACTTTTGGGATAATGGATTTAAAAAGGAGATCCATGGATGGATCCATCAGTGATGGAATGTCTGGAAAAACGGATTTAAAAAGGGGATTCAAGGTGGATCCATCAGTGATGGAACCTCTGGAAAAATGGATTTTAAAAGGGAATCCCAGATGGATCCATCCCTGGCCCTCCTTTGGGGACACTTTTCCCTGGATTTTTCTCTCCCTTTCCTTCCGAGAGGAGTCCCTGACGTTCCTGCTGGGCCAGGGAGCCCCAGGGAGCTGGAGCTGCTGGGAATGGTTCTGGAATTCCTCCTCCCCTCACCGACTGGAAATTGTGCAGCTCCACCAAGGTTTTCTTGTCCACCATGAGCTGGCCCTTGAGCTGGCAGTGGAAAGCCTCGTCCAGGCGCCGGCGGGACGGGAGCTCCTGCAGGGACAGCAGCCCCGGGGGCAGCGGGCTGGGATGGGCTGGGATGGGCTGGGAGGATCGGTATTCCATGGCTTCTGGGGGAAAAGGGAATAAAAATTAAAATAAAATGAAATTAAATCGTCATTTTAGGGCCTGGCCTATGAGTGGAATCTCCTGTAGGGACAGCAGCACCAGGGGCAGCTGGCTGGGCTGGGCTGGGATGGGCTGGGAGGATCGGTATTCCATGGCTTCTGGGGGAAAAGGGAATAAAAATTAAATTAAAATGAAATTAAATCGTCATTTTTGGGGGTGCAGCTGGCTGGGGTGGGAGGGGATGGGCTGGGAGGATCGGTATTCCATGGCTTCTGGGGGAAAAGGGAATAAAAATTTAAAATAAAATGAAATAAAATCGTCATTTTTGGGGGTGCAGCTGGAACAGACAGGGCTGCTCAGTGCTCCACAGCTTCCGAGGGAAACAGGGAATAAAATGAAATAAAATGAAATTAAATCTTCATTTAAAGGCCTGGCCCATGAACCCATTAATGTTTGATCAGAATTCTACACTTGAATTTTCAATTTTAAGTCCAGCAGCACCAGGGGAATATTTTTGGTTGCCAGGGGAAGCTTTAGGGTGAGGATTTCTCCTGGTGCCTCACCAAAACAAAGCTCTTTAAGCCTTTAATCCCCTTTACCTTTAATATCCTTTAAAAAATCTTTTAAAATATTTTACCTTTTAAAATCTTTTACCTTTTAAGATCTCCTTGAATTCCTGTAGAAGAACTTCCCTGGTGACTTCAGCCCCAGGAGCTCCCGGAGGCCCCTGAGGCCCAGGAGGCCCCGGAGGCCCAACCAGGCCTCGCTGAGGGAACAAAACAAGGAAAATTGGGATTAAAATCTGGGAATTGCAGTG